TAGTATATTGTCAGAATGGTTTTCTTGATTTTTTATACTGGGTCATCACAAAGTTTTATAACGAAATTCTTTACAGCGTTATGATCTCAAAGTAATCAGTATTTTTTTTTTTTACCTATGTTTATTATATTATTAGATTGTTTGACAATTTTCAAATGACGAAAAAAACCTTTCTTTTTATCTTTTGCCTTTTGCCTACAGTTCAGTGGTTTCATAATTTAATCGTCTTCTTGATACATGCTATATAATGTTCAATTAGATATGCTGTATGACTGTTTCGCCCCGATATCGTCAAAATCAACGACTTCCAACAATATTCAATATGCACTCATATAGCCCCATGATTACGATTGAAGCAAAACTATTTACATGAAGTGTGTGTGTAGAATATCAGTTTTTGAATTAATTGTGGACTTACAATAATTATTTTTTAATTCAACTTTTTTTATTCTACAATGTCAAATAAAAAGGCGACTTGATGGTGGGATTTTTAAAAAGTGGAACACTTGCAGGGGATAGTTAAACGTATTCTGAAAGAAAAAAAGAGATCAGACCTAGCACGTTTAACAAACAAGAGGCCCATGAGCCACATTGCTCACTTGAGCACTTTTAACTAGAGAAAAGCAGAAATCAGTTCAGTATTGAAAATTTGTATACATGTGTTCTAAACCTAACCCCAGGAGGACGATTTGAACAAACTTGGATCCACACTAATGAAAAAAGGATGAAGATAACGAACAGTAACTAAGGATGCTTCCATATTTCGTTGACTAGTCATGGCTTTAAAAGATTTTAAAAATATTCTCCTGTATTTTTCTATACAAAAGTTTGATCTTCTATTGTGGTCCTGCCCTAACCCACGAGGGACAACAAAGTTTGAACAAAAATAAATCTACACTACCCTTCTTAGTCATATTAATGCTTGTGCATTAATATGACTAATCAAGTCTTTGCTGTTCTTTAGAATTTTTTCAAAGACATTTCCTTAGTATATACAGTATTCTGTATTAATTTGACTAGTTATGAGTTTGTTGTTCTTGAGAAAAAGCTTTTTAAAGATATTTCCTATATATACCTATTAGTAACTTTGATCCCCTGTTGTGGCCACGCCTTACCCCCGGAGGTCATGATTTGAACAATCTTGAATCTACACTGCCTGAGGATGTGTCTATAATACAATGACTAATTATTATAGCTTTGCGGTTCTTAACAAGAATATTTTTAAAGAAAGTTCTTATCTTTTCTTATGTTTACCTTCTATTTCCTGTTTTGGCCCCAACATACACCCGGGAGTCATGACTTGAACATAGTTGAATCTACACTTAGTCTTTTTTTTTTAACTTTTACATAAGTTTCATCTTTTTCTAGTCCAGTGGTCCTTGAGAAAAAGATTAATAAAAGATGCCATGAAACTTCACCAATTCACAATTATCTCTCCTTGAAAGAAGGCATAGAACTTCACATAAATTAAATTCTTGTCAACCAAAGATGCTTTGTGGCGAGTTTGGTTGAAATTGGCACAGTGATTCTGGAGGAGTCAAAATTGTGAAAAATTTACAGACAAGACACGACAGACACACGGACGCCGGACACGTTCGACAATGACACGAAATAGTCCAAAAATGCAATGGGACTTAGCAACAAATGTGATTGATGTTAATTTTGTCCAGCTGACGAATTAGCTTTTAAGACCTAAATGACTGCACAATTGAAATATATTCCTCGCAATTTACGAGGATGTCAAAAAGTTCGAATTCTAATTGAACTACTTCCATAAAAAAATATAATTAGGTTTCAGTGTTTATCATGTTTTAAAGTAGTCATATCTGACTTAAATGCACATCTGCCACATTTCTGCCCATGCGCCAATCACGTGATCCAGGCGGTCACGTGACATACTCCATAGTGTTCTGTTCACATAAGTTAAAAAAATTTCCGAGTCTTGTATTTCTTACCACGCAAGTTATTTTTTATAACAAGAAAGGTCCATTTCTCACAAATGGACAAACCTCGGCAATAGGATAGGAGTATAAGGATATCTTTTCCCAGAATGAGCATAGTGACCATCACAACCCGAGTCCTTTGCCTTTGATGCGTCGTTTATTCATTGTGGACAAAGTATGGGCGCATTCTTTTTATCATATCTGATATGTTTAAAGTCTAAAGTAAACGATATTTTAGGGATTTCATAATTATATTATTGTTAAGATATTCAACTATTTTTCTAACTGTAACTTGGCGATCTTTCGTAACAAATTGCTCAACTTAGGACACATTTCTTACCCAACTTACTTTCAGTGGGAACCAGAACAATCATCATTTTAACCATCTCCCTTCCTTCACTTAAACAATCAATCCAATTAAGGATTGAACTTCTGACAAGTCTTTTGTCTTCATAAACCTTGTGCAAATTATCATATGCTACTGCAAAGGAATTTCCAAGATATACGTTAAACTTTAAACCCGTTCGTTGCTCGGGTGCGACTGAGTCAGCCATTTTTTTGTCACAAGTCATCTACATATTGACATCATTTTCTCATTGTGACATCACAAACATAGAGCAAACATAACGTTACATCTGCTTTTTATAGAAAATGTTTATGACTATATATTTGCATATTCTATGTTTTCTCCCACTATGAACCTGCACTCACCAGTTGAGTTCATGGCACCATGAAAGCAATTTCTTCTGCTTTTAGTGCATTTCGTTTCTTACACTGGCGCAGTACAAGCTACGCCACGTTTAAAACACATTCAGAAGTATATATATGGAATGTTGTGCAAAAGGAATAAAAATTTAGTTTTTAATGGAATCCTCCGGGAAAAAAGAAATTTTAAATGATTAAGATTAGGTGTTTTTAATTTTAAAAAAAATGACATTATGAATAGCAATAGCTCTGCTGGCATATATATGGAATATGGAGTATATATGGAGAATATGGAACATGGAGTATATATATGGAATGTTGTGCAAAAGGAATAAAATTTAGTTTTTAATGGAATCCTCCGGGAAAAAAGAAATTTTAAATGATTAAGATTAGGTGTTTTTAATTTTAAAAAAAATGACATTATGAATAGCAATAGCTCTGCTGGCATATTTTCCATGATGCGCACTAGCGCGCATCATGGAACATGTCAGCAGAGGAATTGCTATTCATAACGCCATGTTCACTGAATAACGTTGTTTATTTCTTAAATGTATGCCAAATTTCATTTTGATCTGAATTGTGGTTTTGTAAATATAGAGATAGTTCGCGAACTTTTTAATCACCCCTCTTATGTTGATTTATAACACACAGTTTGTCTCAGTAGTACTAAATTACGTTTTATTAGTCCCCTACCGGTGAAACCGGAGGGGACTATAGGTTTCCTCTGAGTCTGTCCATCCGTTTGTCTGTCTGTCTGTCCCACTGTCTTTCCAACTTGGTTTTCCGCACTGTTTTTCTAAACGCTTGCAGATATTGAGTTGATTTTTGGTATGTGAGTGAATCTTGATGAGTTACAGATCAAATTTGCATTTCGTTCCGCTTCAATGATTTTTGACGGAATTACGACCTTTTCAATTTTTCAGGGATTTCCGCAATTTTTTTCTAAACGCTTGCAGATATTGAGCTGATTTTTGGTATGTGACTTTACTTTGATAAGTTATAGATGCATTTCGTTCTGCTTCATTGATTTTTGACGGAATTATGGCATTTTCAATTTTTAACGGAAACAAGATTACACTTACCGGTAGGGGACTAGTATTGCTAATGCAATACTCTCAAAACGCTTGTTAAAGTTAGATATATCCACTAACTTTTAAATACTCCACTATAAGCCATTCAACATTATGTTAGATTATAATAATCTTCCATACAACTTAATTATTATAAATATTTACAGCCTGACCAAGCCGAAAGAAAAGAATTCAGGAGGGGGTTGGGGCTGTTTTGCTAAACATAATTTTTGTCAAGCCATTTGAATACCATCAGACTAGAAATTTGCCTCTTACCCATGAGGTTTCATTTTCTGCTTTGATAATTCAAAATCTCAAGTGAACGAGTTGTTAAGCTAAACCAATCCATAATGAGTTTAACCAGTTTTTAAACTTAATGAAAACCATTTCCCTTTAAACCATGTGCACACACAAACTGGCAGTATATTCTCCACCACAAATGAGGCAAGCAATTCTAAGATTGACATGTAAAATGTGTATAACAAGTGAAACTGCATATATGAATAGGTCGAATTGCGTGTTCATACGAAATTTAGTTTATGAAATATTTAAAAAGTTGGCTTTTTCTGGTATAACCTTCGTACAGTGGTCAGATTTTCTCTTTATAAACGTTTAAGTGACGAGCAAATCTACTGAATAAACATCATAAACATTAACAATTACTTCTTAATCAAATATACTACCATGTCAAACGACTTATTCATCTATGCTGCCTCATTGATCTAAAACATAGTAACGAGTGTCTGAAATCAATATTCTCGATTTGCATATTACCAGCAGTGAAAATGGTGCGTATGATTTTTTGTTTTCGTTTCTTTTGTATCATCTGCTTTGATATACACTACTAAAAACCAAACATACGTAAAACACTCTTATTTTTCCATCATTTGTTTTCTGCCGCATATGTTAATAATTAAAAATAAATATGTTCAGAACTCTGCGATTTGATCCTAACTAAATCACACAAATACAGTTTCTTTTCAATTTCACTTATGATTTTGTTGTGTTCAGAAGACATCTTTCTTGGGCACTTACCTTGGACATGTTTTGCAGTAGAACAATCGTAGTAACTCATTAATGGTGCTTACACGTCTATTATTATAGGCCTATTAATGTTGAAGAAGGAATCTTATCTTGTTACGTTAATTTGTATTTTAGTTGCTTTTTTGGGGTTTCAAAGGAAATCTATTAGTTCATCACTCTTTTACACTTTATACCAAGGGTAACACTTGACCAATGTCGATCTAGAGAGAGAGAGAGAGAGAGTTTGCGTGTTCCTTACTCTGGTCCACTTTGTCCTAACAGATTGTACCGGATTTCTAACCAATGATAACAAGCATCAAATCCGTTGTCTGCTATGTCCATGAAGTCTATTGTAAGCTGCACATGTTCATTAGAGGGAGCCTAAAAATAATAATTATTGCCAGCTTTCATAAAGAAAGTCTCATTATACATGCATTTCACAGACTTGTGTGTTGTTAATATTAATATTAACAATTTCATGAAAAATGTTCTTTCTCCTTAAAGGTGCTTAGACACAGATTTGAACTTAATATTTTCTCAAATTTTCTGTATAATATCAGACTTATATATTGCAATAGCATTTCACGCGAAAATATAATTAAAAACTTAATTTATCTGCAAATTATTGGAACTACGAATTCCGGGATGCGTTTGATTAACACATCTTTGCACTTACACAAATTTTAACTTTATCCTTAATATTTAAGAAAAGAAGCGATTTTGTTATGTATAAATGCAAAATATTACATCTATAATCCAGAAAATTCAGAGTAGAAATGTTCGAAAGCAAAACCAAATCACCAGTATTGTCAGTCCGTGCTCTGTGATGTGTACAGACTTTAACAAATTGAGCACACCCGTGAAACGTAAACTGTTTTCGTAAACAGAGCTCTGTTATTGTTAATGTTTACTATTCACCAGGTGTGTTCAATTGTTAAACTCTGCACACACCACTGAGCACGGACTTACAATATGAGTGGGTTTTGCTTTCGAACATTTCTACTCTGAATTTTCTGTGTTATAGTTTTAATATTTTTCATTAATACACAACAAAATTGCCACTTTTCTTAAGTATTAAGAATAAAATCAAATACATGTATGTGAAAGCGCAAGGATGTGTCAATCCAACGCGTCCAGAAATTCGAAGTTTTAATAACTTCGAGCTGAAATAAGATTTTTATTATATTTTAGTAAAATGCTATAGCAACATATAAGTCATGAAATTATACAGAAAATTTGAGAAAATATTAACTTCAAATCTGTGTCCAAGCACCTTTAAGATTAGTACACAGTACGAATATAAAGTATCTGTGGAAAAACAACCAAAAACAATTCTCGAATTGTTCTTCAGTCAGACTTCTTTACAAGAGTAATTTAATTACCGAATCTTGTATCCTTTGTTTCGAAAATCATAGTTACATGTATTGGGTGCCGGATTTCTGCACCAGAGAGAAAATAAGTTCGATTATGCATTAAACCTCTTCTTTATCCCTGAGAATTTAAGCGAGAAATTGATTTTATTATTTTGTTTAGCATTGAACCATCTTCTGCAATTGAAAGAACCATGTCTTTTGAGTATAAATCATGCTTATGTCCCGATAAGGGGAATAAGTTTGAAAATGCATCACATCTTTTAAATGGTTCTCTCATTCAGGACTTGTTTGCAGAGATTTTAGAAATCAATAAGATTTTCTTTGAATTGTAACATGGTTCATGAAATGGGAATATGTAGAGAAGGTGACCTTCAAGGCCCATTAATTTGTTAAGGTCATCTTACCCTTCATTATTGATTCTATGTCTAAAACATATCTGTACAATATAAATCCTTGTTCTTTATGGATTCATGTGGACATTTGATGTATGCAATTTAAAGTTCCTTAATAAAATGTATAAAAATGTATTTCTATTCAATGGTTTAAAGCCACCTTGAAACTAAAGAGGAAAGTACTTGTCAATTTGTCATGCTTATCTGTAAGAAGAAGGGAGTTTTTTGATAAATTCAGTAAAATTTCATTCACAATTTCTGCAATGCATTCTTGTATTACCTTGATCAACCATACGCAGTCAACACCAGTATCGTAATTGTTGGGGTAATTTGGTGAAGTAATGGTTTGCTCCACTCCAGATGACAAAGTTATTATACCTCCACAACCTGAAAGGATGTATTGTAATTAACGAATAATGAATTGCAAAAAAGTGTTTCAAAAAGAAAGCATATGGACATGTATAATTTTGTTCAATCTATCAATCGTTAAAGTTTGACTTTACTAACAACAGATTTAATTAAACATGTATACATGGAAATTGTATATGCTTTATAACATGTACAAAACAAGTTTTACTTTGATGTCATAGAGAGCCTTACTTTCTCTAAGCATGGAAAAATATAGGCTACTGTAAAGAAAACATACTGTAAAATAACTGGAATTAAATTTCGTTGTTAGAGAAGTTCAGACATTTTAAGAGAGAATGTCACGAATCATCAAGCTTCAAATGGAAACTGAAAATTTTAACCTACTGTTTTCTTTTATTGGTTGTAAAAAAGTGTTCATACTAAACAACTTTCACATATATGAAAATGATGTTTACCCAACGAAAGTATTATTTTTTCCCCTTATTATGTGTTGCCATGGAAACCATCGTAAGTTAAGAAAAATAGCTTCAATTTTAACATTTTTTAAACAATATTTTTTACAAAAAGAATACAGATATCACCTACAACAAACTTAATGCTTATTATTGAAGATGTATAGTATACAAAAAAGTTTACAAGCAAATCTAAATACCTAGGCATCTGTTGCCATGGCAACACAAATATTGTACAGTTTTACAGTTTGAAAAATTGAAAATTACCTCTCAAGTTTAAACTTATATATATAAAATATACAACAAGCTGGGCATTAAAATGAAATTGATTCTTACACAATACAGGTTGATCTTCCAGAATGACATATAAAATTGAGAAGCATTTTTATAGTTTTTGTGGAAAAAACGGTTAAATTTTATGTTTTTAACCCGTAAAAATGTTAAAAATACGCAAATTTTAAGGAAAACTTTCAATTTCTTCTAAATTGATAATTGTTTATGTATATTTGCTAATACACTCTTGCATTATCAATAAATATAGTGATATTATGAGATAAAAATCCTGTAATGTGCCCATAGCAACCAATTTTACTGCATAGCAACCAACGCATTTTCAAGAGATTGTGTCTAAAAAAGAAAGGAGAACATGTATTTAAATATAAAAAATTCGATAAACAAGCTTTATTTCACTTAGGAATAATAAAACATACTTAAATTTCAGCATCAATCATATTCTGTGCATAGCAACCAAATGATGTCCATAGCAACAGTTAAAATTTAAGTTTTTACACCAAATAAACTTTAATGCTAAATACACACATCAATTTTTAAGGGAAAAAACCTTCAATTTCTTCCACATTGATCTATTTCATTTATATTTGCTAATATACTCTTGCAAAATCAAAAAATAAAATGATATAATGTTGAAATAATTCTGTAATGTGCCCTTAGCAACCAATTTTACTGCATAGTAACCAATGTATTTTCAAAACACTGACAAAAAAATGAAGGAAAATATGTATTTATATACAGAAAACAAGATATTTAAGCTTCATCTCACTTATGAATTATAAAAACATATTCAATTTTCTGCATCACTTATATAATCTGTGTATAGCAACCAAATGGTCCACAGCAACAGAGCTGAACAGACATTTTGTAACCCTTAAATTATCAAAAAATGTTGGTAACACTCCAATGAACTACATGTATTTATAAAAATTCAGACAAAAGCATGGTCAATTTATTTATGAGATTTTTTTTTTTGGGGGGGGGGGGGTAACCTTTACATAATTTGTCTTAAATTCAGTATTTCTCTTCTTTTAATTGATTAGTCATTCCTCATTCAATGAAAGCTTCAATCCATTTAATTTTCATCTGTTTCTTGATAGGGCAATGCCCATGTTTACAACATTCAAAGAAATCATCTCAAACTGTACTTTTTGGAACATAATGAGAGAGACCCATAATGCTGGTGGGTTCTGTAATCTCACTTGTCTCAGTCATGTCTGTGTCTTGACTCCCAGCAATCACAGTCTCTCATGAGAATCTGACTGCTGTGTAAAAACTTAAAAAAATAAAACAATATTAAACAAAGTTGCCCAAACTACATGGAGAAAAATTTACAATCTCAAAGGATAGTTTTTTCCTTTTATCTGAGTAAACTTAAAATATTACCTTGGGTTCATAGCAATTTATGAATAAAAAGAAAAAAATAATAAGAAGAAGAGTTCCATAGCCCACACTGCTCACCTGAGCCACCTATGCAATGCTATTATTTTTTAGAAGTTTTTGTAAAACATTCCAATCTATATTCCCATGAAACATTCATGTTCTTACTGGGGCTGTACCCTAGCATCAAGAGGCCATGACTTATGCATACTTGAATCCACTCACAACAAATGCATATGCTGGATAGCAATAAGACTTATGTAGCCGATCTGTATAATGTAAAATTTGCTTCCATATTTTAATCCCACTCAACCCAGCTTGTATCTACAAGACTTGGGAATTTTGATTTTCTCATAAAATATATTGCACACCATTTATAATTTTGCTTGTTATTGTCACACTAGGATACAGTGAGTTCATTTAAGAAATGAATTCAATGAATTCATCTTTTGAGAATTCATACGGATATGAATTAGGATGCTTCACACAATTTATTTTAAGAAACGTGATTTGAATAAATTTAAATCTACATAGGGGTACCTGAGGATGCTTCCATATCAATGTGACTTATCAAGGTTTTGCTGTTTTGGAGAAGAAGATTTTTAAAGATTTTTTCCTATATATCCCTATGTAAGACTTTGATTGCCCTTTTTGGCCCCATCCTACCCCCAAAAGGTCAAGATTTGAACAACTGGATCTACACTATGTAATTAAAGTTTCACATAAGTTTCAACTTAAATGTATCTGGACAAGTAGTTCTGTTTTTTAGCTCACCTGAGCCGAAGGCTCAAGTGAGCTTTTCTGATCAAAATTTGTCCGTTGTCTGTCGGCGTCGTCGGCGTCGTTGTTTTCGTAAACTTTTCACATTTTCATCTTCTCCAGAACTACTGGGCCAATTTCAATCAAACTTGGCACAAAGTATCATTGGGTGAAGGGGATTCAAGTTTGTTCAAATGAAGGGCCACGCCCTCCTCCAAGGGGAGATAATTACGAAATAGCAAAAAATTAATGGCATTATTTAAAAATCTTCTTCTCAAGAACCAATGGGCCAGGAAAGATGAAACTCATGTGGAATTATTGTCAGGTAGTGTAGATTCAAATTTGTTCAAATCATGACCCCCGGGGTAGGGTGGGGCCACAATGGACGATCAAAGTTTTGCATAGGTGTATATAGGAAAAATCTTCAAAAATCTTCTTCTCAAGAACAGCAAAGAAGTGATTGGAAATATTTATGTGGAAAGATTCCTCAGGTGGTGTGGGTTCAACTTTGCTCAGATCATGACCCCCGGGGGAAGGGGGGGGGGCCACAATGGACGATCAAAGTTTTACATAGGTGTATATAGGAAAAATCTTCAAAAATCTTCTTCTCAAGAACAGCAAAGCAGTGATTGGTAATATTTATGTGGAAAGATTCCTCAGGTGGTGTGGGTTCAACTTTGTTCAGATCATGACCCCCGGGGGTAGGGTGGGGCAACAATGGACGATCAAAGTTTTACATAGGTATATATAGGAAAAATCTTCAAAAATCTTCTTCTCAAGAACAGCAAAGCAATGATTGATAATATTTATGTGGAAGCATCCTCAGGTGGTGTGTATTCAACTTTGTTTAGATCATGACCCCCGGGGGTAGGGTGGGGCCACAATGGACGATCAAAGTTTTTCATAGGTGTACATAGGAAATATCTTCAAAAATCTTCTTCTCAAGAACAGCAAAGCTATGATTGGTTATATTTATGTGGAAGCATCCTCAGGTTGTGTAGATTCAAGTTTGTTCAAACCATGACCCCTGGGGGTAGGGTGGGGCCACATTGAACGATCAAAGTTTTACATAGGAATATATAGGAAAATTTTTTAAAAATCTTCTCAAGAACAGCAAAGCCACGGTTTGTCATATTTATACGGAAGCATCCTCAGATAGTGTAGATTCAAGTTTGTTCAAATCATGACCTCCAGGGGTAGGGTGGGGCCACAATGAAAGTTCAAACTTGTAGAGAAAAAAGTCACAGTTAGTCAAAAAATTATGTAAGCATCCTTAGTTAGTGTAGATTCAAGTTTGTTCAAATCATGACCCCCCCCCCCCCCCACTCACTTTTAGGGGTAGGTAAGGACCACTTATGCATTTAAGCTTTTCAATACTAAAAATTTATAATTATAGGTTTGACCTTGAAAATATGCCTGTCATTATACTGACTTTTCCGTGAATGTCAAAATGTTATGTCACATATCCTTTAACTTGAAAATTGAGAAATATTTAATGGAAGAAATAAAATACACTTAAGAACATTTTTTTAATGGACAGAGGGAATTAAAATTCAGTGATCATTATTGGAAGGTTTTACATGCATGGGCATGTACATTATGATGCAGTATTGTACTGTGGAAACATTAATTTTATGGAGTTTCATAAATTTTAACAATGCCACACTTCTTCAACTATGAAATTAAATATTTTTTCTCAAACCTTGAAAATTTGACCCCTCAAAATTATATATATATATATATATATATATATATATATATATATATATATATATATATATATATATATATATATATATATATATATATATGCTTTGTGCTTTCTATATTAATATTTTTTCACTTAGGGCAGTTATGTTAGTTTAAGAGTTGTTGTAAAATGTGCTTTATAAATAAAAATTAATTTCATTACAACGTGTATTGGTAACGATCCTCTAATAAAACTAATGTCCAAATAACTGTATCTCACTTCCATTCTCAATGACCGTGTAGTGTAGGGCAGCGCCGCGAAAAATTCCATCGGCATCGACAGCAAGTTTTATGACTTGCCTAGATAGCCGAGCGGTCTAGCGCGCTGATCCTGTACTGCTAGGAGACAGATTCCGTAGGTCGAGAGTTCAACCCCGGGCTGGGGCGGAAGTGGGTATTCTTATAAAAAGTGAATTTCTTTGTGCTTTCTATATATATATATATATACATATACATATTATAATATTTCTTTTCTTCTGATCAGAGACATAAACAACAAATAAATAAATAATGATTTATATTTCTGTTCTTATTAAGTAAGTCTTTCTATTTAAAAGTAAATGGCTGCTAATACCAGTGAATAATTGCAAAAGGCTAAATTGTCTTTTTTTCTAGATGCTAGAAGCATTTTTTAAATATTCTGTTGAATCTGTAGAGTGTAGAGTACATGTATCTGCATGTAGAGCTACTCTATATAATTTACATGAAATTCTGTATTGCTGCTAACAAGAGTTTTTCTTGGCTTTTGTAAAGTAAAAAAGGAAAGAAATATAGAAATATGTTTATAATACATTCATGCATTATCTTTTATCTGAAAACAAATCAGTTTGACACTGTCATCTTTCGAAATTAACTAATGTATTGTAATTTGCAATTTCCATGTGCAAATCTGATCTACAGACTTTCATAGTAAAAGTAACAGTAATATGACCTTTGCCAAGGAAACATTAGGATCCCTCTTATATTGGTAAGCATAGTAATATATGTGAAGGAATTGACTTAAAAAAGAATTTTTTCATCCCCCCCCCCCCAATCCTGAAATTGAAAAGGTTTTTCAGAGATTTTATAATTTTTTTTCTTGCATGTCAATTTTTTTATGTTTGGCATCTGTTAAAGTTAATGTGAAACACCCCATCCCCACTCCATCCACTGCAAAAAAAAATCTTTGATCCGCAACCTGAATTTCAATGTTTTTTTCTAAATGTATTTATACAAATTAATGTTTCGCTTTAAGAACATTTTAAACTGTTAAATAAATTTAAATAATTATTAAAAAAAACCTGTGATTATAACATGTACATAGATGTATTAGGCATTTCAATAACAAATAAATATAGAGAAAATACATACATGTACCAGTTCGATAGGTGTCGGTCTTGATTGCCATTGCATCTGCTGTCAATGTATTCGTGTTATTAAAATATTTGCATCAAATGAATATAATTGTTTCTGCCCATTTCTGCAAAAAGGAAAAATATTTATAATTTGAAGTAATGTGCGTGGCGATTTTTTTGGATAATAAACAAAGGAAACTGATTCATTTGAATTTTACACGCATTTAGTTACCAGTTTACTGTAAACAGATGAATGGAGAAAATTCGGATAAGGAAGAAAGTGATCGCTTTTAGAAATATTTTTTTTAAATTATATTACCTGATTTGTCATAAGGTTTTTGTTGTTGAAAAGATTCCAAGCTTATGAATCTTTTTCCCTCTTGAAACAACATGAATTTTCCTTGAGTCAGTGCTCCAGAACATCCAAAGGTTGCCGACATTTTTTGTTTCTATCACAGAAGAGCTTCCAAGGGAAGTCATTCATGACAATAAAAGACGGGAAAAGTACCCATCAGTGTGATAAAAAATCCTTTCAATTTAAGCCCACTTTAGAATGCTTCTCAATTTTAATTTTGATATTAACAGTAATAATGTTCATTTTTTTGAGAATCGCATCATATATTTATTTTCTTGTTGTAGATTTGAGAATTCAGTCACCAAAACAGGGTCAAAAATAGGCCAAGTGCATGCAGAAAAACTAATAAAAATTTAAAGTTTTTGTTCACATGCAGACAAAATATAAAAATACTAGTTTTTAAAACTAGTTTTAATCCGTTTTATTAATATTTATTGATTTTTTTATTTTTTGTACTATGCAAAAGTACTGCAAATTGACTGATTCTGAATTTTTCTAAAGTGTGTATTTTACTTACTTTGATATATGGTTACCATGGAATCGATTTGGCTGATCATTGTAAAATTTTACCACAAATGATAAAACTGTTAAAGAAGTTTAATAACGCAAAAATCCCAAAATTTTTAAATTTTAAAGTTTCCATCAATTACACTGAGTAAGCTTGATGATTCGAGACATTCTCTCTTAATGTTTTGGGGAAAAAAAAGAATTCGGGTATTTCGTCCTAACATGGAAATGAAGAAAATTAAACACGAAAGTTATAGGTTTCATTTTATAATTGACTAATTTCGATCTTTCAGACTGAAATCCAACATTCTAGAAATCAATAGAAAGTTAACTTTATCTATACCTGACTTTTCAGGTGAACATGACATTTACACTTTTTTCAATGTTTGACAGAAAAAAGAAATCGAATTTCCAAAATAATACGGTTGGTTATGTTTATTGTTGTCGTCCAATGAAATCCAACGTCTCTCACTGCGGTTGACTAGGACTTCAGCAAAACAAAGAACCAAAAGAGATGGCAAGGTTTGTTCTTGGCCTTTTTGGTCATCGCGATGATTAGAAACCCTCAAAGTAAAATACTGGACTCCTCGGGTACCTAATCATCGTACTGACCTAAAAAAAACAATGAATGGTATGTGTTGACTGTGTACTAGATGCATGCTACTAATTCACCTGAGCTTGATTGTACTGTGTTGCACGTAGATCCTATCAGTCCAGAGGGGCAGTAGCATCCACAATTGTGATTCAGAAAACCCCCGTTTTCACATGTTGGTGGATTATTACAGGAATCTGCAAGTTTAAAGCAAGGAAATAACAGAACCTAATTACTTTCTACACAAGCCTTGTTTATTAGATGACTGTAGAATAATTCAATAGCTGTGGACTACAAATTATAAAGTAGCTGAGAGACATTTAATTTTTCAACACTTGAAGTAATAATATCAAGAAATACTTTTTGTTTTTAGAAACATTGTTTTAATGTTTATGGGGGTAAGTACTTTTGAGGAAAGCAAATTCATTTCACTGAAATCTAAAAGAAAACAAACAGCTCTTTATAGTAAATAAATAAGTACATTTATTTCTAAATGATTGTTTTAAATTTTACCAGTGCATCTGTAAGCAACAGTGATATCTTTGACGTCATAATACATCAAACCGTTTGCTTTTCCCGCAAGAAATGCTAGTTTGGGATCTTTAGAACGCATAGTTGGTTTATTGGTATCAATTGCAAAAGCCTGTCAATGAAAAGAATTGAATTCAATTCAAAAATTCCGCTACTATCCTTAAGAGAGTAATTATCTTACTTTTGTCAGTAATAGGATTAAGTGTTTTATTGCTGATACAAAAATTCCTCCCCTCTTTTTTCGAAAAAAAAAAAATTAAAATAGGACATTCGTTGTTTTAAAAAAAGAAAAACATCTCGGTAAGTAGTTCCGATTTTGTGATAAGAAGTGGAGTTAACTGTAGCTTGTGTAAGAGTTTATATGAAGCCACTCAGATCAGGACTACTTTAACTTGTTTAAACGAGAAGCATATGGACAACAACGCTCACCTGAGTTACTTTAGCCCGCTGTTCTTCAGACGATTTTAAAATATTTTATAATCCCTTGAAAAAATTGCGACCCTATATTATATCCCCATCCTAACACTAAGGAGTCTCTGAATCCACATAACCTGGGGATGCTTCAATATCAATATGACTAAAATGACCTTGCAGTTATGGAGAAGAACAGTTTTTCCTGTATAAATGCATTATATAAAACGCCTTCACAATTTCCTCTTTTTTAATTCCAGTGATTCTTAACTGCAGAATTGTAGTTATCTGGATGAGAAAATTCGGAAAGATAAACCAGAGAGCTACCTATCTGTTAGGGGTGGTTTTGAAAAAAAAAAAGACTGGTAAAAACATACACATGCTGAGAAAATGAAAATAAAAAAAATTGGAGGTTCAAATATCACGTACATCGTCTATAAAGAAGACACATGACAGTTACCTTTTCTGGCCCCGTGTTTCTTGAGAAGAAACTTTTTAAAGATTTCTTCTAAATATTTCAATGAAAAAATTTCTGCACCTTTTGTGGTCCCACATTACCCAAGGTGGGCCATGATTTGAACAACTTAGATTTTACACTTCCTAAGGAAGCCGTCACAAAAGTTTTACTTTTTCTCGCCCAACGGTTCTTGAGAAGAAATTTTATTAATGACCCCATCCTAATCTTGCCTTTTCTTGATTATCTCCCCTTGTAAGCAGGTTTGGTCCTTCATTTGAACAATTTAGAATTCCCATTAGCTAATTTGCCTTGTCTTTTTCATAAGAAGTCGAAAATGTAAAGAATAATCAGACGGAGGGATGAACGGATGCCGGACAACGGGTGATCAGAAAAGCTCACAAGCTTTCTGCTAAAAAAGAAACGAACAGTAATTACATTTAAAAACTGAAATTATCCTTACACCTAAATAGTACTGAAGTATAGAAGATATATCATATGGATTGTTATCTCTGGTATTAAACTTCTTAAAGTTGACGTTGTTTTGTCCATTTTGTATATTATCATCATATATCTCAATATAGGGATCCCGATCCTGTCTGTTCTGTTCGTGCCACATACCTAAAGCATGACACATCTCATGTATAGCAGTACCAATCTACAAAGGAAAACGCATCTTTTTAAAGTTTCATTCATCTTTTCTCCAGAGTTCTTTAATTCGTTTGAGATTGTAACTGGTTCACAATTTTATCGATTTAAATAAAAGAACTTCCTCAAAAAGATCATCTGCAAGATATAGGTCCTTGGAATCCATATTATAAATAAACTTTCACCAACCGCTTGAAACTCTTAACACATTACACAATGAGGACTCCCAACAAGTACAGTAGTTTTCACAAGAGATCAAAAATCTGAAACTTCATTGTACAGGAAAACTAAGGACAAGAAAGTCTGGTACAGACAAATAAAAATCATTGCAATATATGTGAAGTTTCTTCAAATATTGCACGGGTTAGTGTTTTAATACAAAATTAATTTTTTGTAAACCTTTCTGAGAAACGAGCCCCAGGTCCCACCTGGTAAAAATGAAATGAAAATGAAATTTGTTTGGACGTAGCCTCTACTAGTACTGTACATAACACTCAATATTTTTATGGACATTAATGCCCTAAAAAAACTGATCCTTGCACCGAAAGTTCGTTTTTAATAATCATCTATGTGATAGTTAACACTTATCAACTAGCTGTGAGTGGGATAACGCTTTTATTGAACCCATAATAGGAACTTTTCCCTGAGGGCATGCACTAGAGGAGTAGTTCTCGTGAAGGGTTTCATAAGAGTGCTACCCCTCTCATAGCCAAATGATAAGCTTTTAATTATATATATATATCGTATACATATATGCATGGAATATAACACATACCCTTTTGACATGCGGGAGCTCAGCCCTTAAATATATATATATATATATATATATATATATATATATATATATATATATATATATATATATATATATATATATATATATAAGGGCTGAGCTCCCGCATGTCAAAAGGGTATGTGTTATATTCCATGCATGATAAAGGTGTCAGAGATTTTTCCAATAGTGTCTTATTTTTCCCCCTTAGGTTTTACACATTTACCCATAATTCAACTACAGTGTATTCAGGCATTTCTGGACATTTTTTCAGAATATCTTACAAAACATCTTACATTGTACAAAATCTATCACTGGATCATTGGGAGATGGAAGATTTTTGGAGTCTTTTTTATTTAGACATTTTTGTTGATTCTGTGGATGCTATTTTTTAAATAATTGAACATGGCGCTGACAAATATTGAACCTGATCCATAACTTGAATTAACAGTCATTTCTTGTGAGAGTGTTTTATTTTTATATAGATGCTGACAGGCCGCGAAACCGGGCAGTTTTGTGTACTTTCTTTTCTTAAAGTCATGTTATTTTTTTTTCTTTATGAAAGTACAGAACACAGCAGCATAGTGGTTTGCAATCAAAAGACCAAGGTTCATACAAAGCTTGCAGCTCCTGAATATGTTTCAATCTGATGTGAAAGAATTTAAAGAGGAAAGTGTAATCGCCTTAATTAAGGACAGATTACATCTGACCTCAGAAATCAAAATAACAACAAAGTCATATTTACACCAAGAGGCTTAAGGGCCTTAACAGTCACCTGAGTATAATACAACATTGTAAAGGATCAACATAAGTATAAAATAAAAAAGATGATAGATTATCGAAGCTATGTTGCCCAGAAGCAAGAGAAATCAGATGATCATAAAATAATTAGTCTATTACTCAGTAACAAATGTTCAAGCGGATCTATTTACATGTCTGTACCTGCCCCCTATTTGTTACATGTACCATCACCATTCTGACTAAACAAAAGAAAAGTGTTTCATCACTATTAGAATACCAATTGTATTCCCTCTCATATTGGTGTCTCTTGTTCTCTCAATTTTGGAAGAGGCACATTTGCTAATCATAACTACAGTGCATGTACTTAGTTTGATTCTTTCCTTAAAACCCAGGAGCAGAGAAGAATTTTTCCAAAGAATTTATATAGTCTTACTTTAGAGCTCCAACATTAACCCCTGAACCTGGGGCCATAAATTTAACAATTTTGGAAGAGGCACCCTTGCTCATCATAACAAGACACCTAGTTTGTCTGCTAAATATACAGGGGAGAGAATACGATTTTTTTTAATTTTTGCATTCTGATTTTATGATCATTAAGAGTCCCCTCCCAAACTCCAGAACCCCTGATCCTCACGGGCCACATATTTCACAATTTTGGAAGAGGCACCCTTATTCATCATAACCATGCACTTAGTTTATCTTCTGAATATACAGAGGAAGGGATGAAGATTTTTCAAGAATTTATACATTTTCACTACATGAAATATGAAGAAGAGGCACATTTGCTTTTCATCATCATGCATTTGATTTATCTGCTAAATATATAGGGGGAGATAAGACGATTAGCAAAGAATTCATGCATTCTGACTTTATGACCATTGGAGCCCCGCCTTAACTCCAGAACCCCTGATCATGGGACCACAAATTTCATAATTTTGAAAGAGGCACCCTTTCCTCATTATTACCAGGCACCTTGTGTATCTTCTTAATAAACATGAGAGAGATTAGTGATTGAAGAATTTATGCATTCTCACTTCATGATCATTAGAGCCCCGCCCTAACGCCCGAAGCCTGGGGCCACAAATTTCATAATTTTGGAAGAGGCATATTTGTTCATCATATTAACCATGCATCTGATTTATCTGCTTAAGATACAGGGGGAGAGAAAGAGATTTTTAAAAAAAAAATTATGCATTTTTACATTATGATCATTAAAACCCTAGCCTAACTCCGGAACCCATGATCCTGGGGCTACGAATTTCACAGTTTTGGATGAGACATCCTCGATTATCATATCCAGGCATTCTCACTATATGAAGCATGAAGAAGAGGCACATGTGCTTATCATAATCATGCATCTGTTTTATCTGCTAAATACACAGGGGGAGAGAAGACGATTAGTAAAGAATTTATGCATTCTGACTTTATGATCATCGTTTGCCGTACATACGTTAGATCTTAAGACTGATGTTGTTATCTTGATTTCAGTTGCATTGTGACGTCATCAGAATTTCAGACTATCCTCGCAGCATTATCTGTTCATGGTTTGTCTATGATACTTTATAACAGTTATCTTATGCCTGGTACTGAGAACAGCTCAATTGTTCAATTGTCCTAAACCGGCGATAGAACACAACGAACTGTTCCCAGTACCTCGGGAAATATATTCCGATCTATTGCCAAATTAGGTATAATATACTAGTAACTGTATACCATAGAATAGAACAATTAAAACTGTAGTATTAGGTAATAACACAATTTATACCCGGTATATAGTTTTGCTTTATACGAAAATTTTCAGAATATGAGAAAAAGGTTATTT